TGGGGATGTTACAATTTATGTTTGGATTAACTTTTTATAAAAGTTAGTTTATAAAGTAAAAAAGTTGTTTGGATTATAATTAGATAAGTAAATTTAGTTTGTAGAATGATCAAAATGGGTATGACTTTTATTAAATAATGAAAAACTATTAAAAATGTGAATTTACAAAATACAATAATTTTAAATTATTATAATTGAAAAAAGTTATATTTAATGAATAAAAATATATTTAAATTAGAAATTATAGTAATGTGAAAATTTGAACCAAATAATATTATATAATTAATTAGATGATATACTCTACACATTTTATGTAAATATAAAATGAAAGATAATATTAAAAATAAAAAATATTATAAAATTTATGTCAAAAATTATTTTCACTTAAAAAAGTATTAAAAATATAAAATGTTAGCTTCAAAAAGATTATCCTATTTGCGCGCGTGTTTTGAGATTATGCGCATTTCCAAAATATTTTTGGGAAATATATTTCCTATATTATTTTTATTTTATTTTTTATTTTTAAGTTTAATATATGATTAGTTTTACATTGTTTACTAGCTGTGAAAAGTGATAACCATCATGGGAAAAAAAATCCAACGCATGCCTTTTTTTTTTTTTTTTTACAGGTATGGATACATAGCAGGAGCGATGCAGGGAGAAGAGAAAGGAAGGGGGGAGGCGTGAGGGCGAAGCATTTACCATTTTTATTTTAAAAAAAAGATGATGATCTCTGCACAGAAAAAAAAAAAAAGCATTATTACATTTTCCATCCCCACCTTTTCACTTATCCTTTATATTAAATTAAATTTTACACATACATAAAATTGGGGAATTGGACTTCACCTCATGTTATCATACACCATTTTTTGATTGCTAAACTCCAAACTTATCCTCTAAAATTCACATTTTAATTAATTATTTAGAATTCATAACTAATTTTAAAAATTTATTAGTGTGCTACTTCATCTGATTCTAAGTATGAGATCTGGTTCACCAATTTCATAAAAATTAAAAAATTGATTAAATTGGGTATTTGATATTATTGTGCAAAAAACGTGTCGTTTTGTTAAAATATTCTGGGAAAAAAATTAAATATCTGAGACAGGAATTAAGAAGTATGAATCAATAAGGATAAATTTTTTTTAAAAATTAAATAAAATAGACGAAAGCTTTAAATTCGATATTTTACAATGGAAATAAATCCCCAACTGGATGGATACTAAGCTTTGCAATGCTAATCAATCCCCAAGCCAACATGAATGAAAATGAACCGCCCGTGAATTCTGAGCATCCTGTTGCCACGGTTCAGCGGTGAAACACGATCAGAAGGAAGCAGAGCATCTGTATAAATAATAGGTAGTCATATGTAGATATGATAAAATTAAGAAAGAGTAAAGGTCCATTCAGAATTTATGTTCACATTAATATTTGGTACCCTTTCGGTTACATAATCAGTGAGTTGATGTTGATTATATATATATATATATAAACTATTTAATATATTTATTAATTTTTTTAAATTAACTATATTGATATTCTCCCAACAATAATCAAGTAGGAGGGGAAAGAAATGAATTAAAAAATATGCTTAAGGTATTTAAAAAATATATATCATATTAAGTAATTTAACTAACATTTTTAATCTACTCAAATTAACTAATTAACTCTCATATTAAAGATTAGAAGAGTATTATTTATAGAGCATCAACATTCTAATCTTATTTTTTTTATACATTTAGATTCTCCATATTATTTATTAAAGTGCTAAATATAGTTAAAAAATAATATCAAAATTGTAAATTGTACAGTAAAAATAAAATCAGGGTGTTAAATTTATTATAAATAAAATCAGGTGCTTGTCCATCAAAAAATGTAAATGTCAATCCGAGCCACACAAATATATTCGTGTATAAGCATTTTGCCAAAGAAAAAAGAAAAGAAAAGAAAAATGGGGTGTCATATATTTTGGTTCAAAATACAGTATATTTAATACTGATTTTTAATTTTACTCTCATTTAATTCTCATCGGGAAGAGAGAAAAAAAGAGATAGGAATATAGTTTGTAAATATAAATAAAAAAATTTAATAATAATAAAATTAAAAAATGTTACTACCTCTGGTTCTAATTATAAGAGCTAGTTGACTAATTTGAAGAGATTAAGAAAGTAAATTGAGTTAGTTATTTGTCCTAAATAGGTGTTGTTTTTCCTAAAATATCCTTACTAATCAAGTGCATTGACTAAAACTATCATTGTTAGAAGGGCTACTTTAGAAAAAAAATGTATAAATATGAGAGACAAAGTGGATTGGAGTCTTATATTTAGGATCAAAATAAAAGTTAAACAGGATTTTATATTAAGGGGCGGAGGTAGTATTAATTTAATGCATTTGTTAAGGATACCATAATATGTTACAAATAATTCAAATTCAGTACGGGAGTGTGGTAACTTTAACTCTCAATTTAAGGACATGATTCTCTTGAAGACTTTAACCTTCAACTCCTTGTTGGCCGTTTTGCTCAAAAAAAAAAAAAAAAAAACTCCTTGTTGGCCCAAAAAAGACAGCGATAAGGGCAAAAATGAGAAACCACCCCCCTCCAAATGACGTCCCGGCTCGGCGTTGAATGGGCAAAGTGGGAACACGAGCAAATTCATGCTTCCGCAGAGAAGTTTTGTTTTCTACAGAAAAAAAAGTTCATTTTTTGGCCAGCTTTCAGAAAGTTGATTGAGATGATGATTACCAAAATTAATTCCAGTGCAAATTACTAACATGACAAGGGAAAACGAATGATTGTTAGTTTCAAAACAAGCGAGGCGCTATTTAATTATCAATAATTTTAATTAAGTCAAAAATTAAGTGGGGTTATTGTAATTTGCAAATTTGTAATTCATCTTGCTTTTACACACACACTAATGCTATCTTATTCAAAACAAAGTAAAAAGATAGAATTGAAAAATTAAGCTCGGCTATAACAAATTATGATATAATGCATATATGAGAATTCAATTTACGAAATACAGAAACATAAAGCGAACAGACCCAACATATATATGAGCTAGAAACAAAGCAACTAGGAACTAATTATTAAGTTAATTTTTGTCCTAAATATAAGATTTATTTTTCATATTTATTAATTTTTTCTAAATTATCCCTATAAATATTCCTTCAATCATAATCAAGTAAGGGAGGGAGGGAGGATATTAAAAAAAAATAATTATGGTGTTTTGGAAAAAACATGTTATATTTCTTATAACTAACTTACTTAATTTTTTTAATCTAATTAAATTAATTAAATAAGTCTTATATTAAAGGTCAGAATAATATATAAAAGATCATAGGCTTAAAAAATTGAAAAAACACTTCCTTTAGACTTAAGTAGCGCCAAACACAAATCACCTAAGATTGTCATCAAGGACAACTGTATCCTATGTGATATTGAAAGAGCTGCTGAAATAAAATTGAAGAGTTATAAACCAAGATGTATAACACTGCTTTGGATTCTAAATATAAGAGTTGATTAAGAAATTAAATTTAATCATAAATATAAGATCTTAATTCATCCAATCTTTCAAATTTATAATTTTTCTCCAAACTATAAGAGATTTCTGGTAGTTCTAATTTACATCATTAAACAAGATAATTTAAAAAAAAATCAATATATCTGTTATAAGGGGAAAAAAGAAGGAAGAGAGAGGTAGATTTGTCCTGCGCATAATCTCTATATATGCAAGTAGAATATGATTTGTATGTGATAAAAGATACTAGCGATGATCGTACATCGTACAAAAGAGTCACCGTCCAAAAGCAATCCAAAATCAGACTCCCCACCGTCTACATACATTTTTGCTGCTCGTATTTGATTTCGTCTTTATTGCCTGAGACTTAGGTGTTTGACAACTATGAAAATGTTTTTTAAAAGTATTTTTTTAAAATTGAGATAATTTTTTTATACATTTATTTTTTATACCATAAAAAATATTTTTAAAATTATCGTTTTTGGTTCCATCCAAACACCTTTTAGTTTTACTTTTTTTATCATATTTTTAAAGAATATATTTTACAAGTTATTTATTTTCTAAAAAACATTTAATTTAATAAACAGGAGTAAGGATCCAAAAAAATTGAAAATTACTGTCAATTATCTTATTGGAATAAAAAAATAGTTAACTCGTTAAATCTGTCTCAAATTTAAAAAAAAAATCAAGTTAGCCCTCCTTTAAAGTTTTCTAACATCTGTTTTAATTTTTTATCCATTATGACATTATCTACCACTAATAAATAAGGATAAAATTAACTAAATAATAATTAATAATTCTCTAATTAAGCCATTTGTATATATTCTAAACCAAATTTTTCTAAAAGATACCATACATTTTAGGCTGGAGGGAGTACTTCTTTTAGTCATAAAGTTTACATATGAGATGTTTTAAACTAAAATACATGAAGCGACAAAAATAGTTAGCTACAGTCAAGATTTGATATTTTTTCCCTCAATTTTACTGTTTTCAATTACTTATTATGTATGGGAAAAGTAATTTTGATAATGTACTTGTGAGAGCATCTTAAATAAAAATTACTCTTGTGGTTCTTAATATAGACATAATTTGAGAGTTGATATTGGTACCTATTAACATGGTTATCAATTTTTCTTAAATTAATTCTATCGGTATTTTGCTCAATAATAATCAAGTAGGACAGGATAAGAGGGATGAAATTAAAAAACATGATTATGCTATTTAAAAAAATCATATTAACTAATATTTTTAATCTATTTAAATTAGTTAATTAGATTTTATAACAAAAATGTCATGCTAGTAAATTACTCGGCATCATTCCTCAGTCCAAAATGGAAAAAAAAAAAAGAAATACTCCGCATCATTCATTCGTATTTCTTTGAACGGGGGACATCTTCATTTATAACTGGGGTTGAGGGGAATAAAGAGAGAGAGAAAGATGAGAGTTGATGTGATTAGACCAGTCAAATATGTATATTCACACTGCATGGCAATTAATGAGTCTCTCTGTGAGCCCCTCGTCTTTAATCTTCATATATTAGAGTGTGTGTGTGTATATATAGGTACTTCTCTCTTAGCTCCATCTTGTGTTGTAAACTGTGATAGACCCACTTTTCTGCTGAGTCTTCGTCTCCCTCTTTTGTCACCTCACTGCACCTTCCCCTTCCTTCTCTTTCCTTCCATCACTTTCTTGATCGCTTCCTCAACCATCTCTCTCATGGCAGCTTTTTCCCATTGCCCCGACCACTTTCCTTTTCTCCTTGACACTAGCTCCTCCCTCTCTTCAGCCTTCGGAGACCAAGAACCTGCTATAAATTCCACTCCCCACCGCCACCTACCTCCCACTCACCAGACTATCTCTACTGATACTACTCAAAGCTCCGGGATGACTGTTAACGATTGTAACGAGTCTTCCGTCACCAGAACTCATGATCACTCTCCTGATACCTCCATGGCTCGAGTTAAGCTTGAAAATCCTGGCGGCGACGTGGTTCAGAAGAAGAAGAAGAAGAAGAGGCCAAACTACAGTAATGGTTCCTCCAAGGTAGAGCATTAATCAGAGGGTTTCTGCATAATTCTGCAGATTTTGACCCAAGAATAATTAATGAACTGTTTTGAATTTTGATTATTGCTTATTATCGTAGGAGGGAGCAGAAGCAAGAAACAAGAGACAGAAGAAGAGCAGCAGTAATGGTGTGGTGAAAGAAGAGGAAAAGCCAAAATCAGAAGAGAAGAAGGAACAGAAGAAGAAAATTCCACCACAGCCCCCAACAGGCTATATACATGTCAGAGCTAGGAGGGGCGAAGCAACGGATAGCCACAGCCTCGCCGAAAGGGTAAAAATATCATAAATGACACACTTTTGTATTAATTAACGTTGTCAATTAAAGGGGGGTTAGTATGATACTTTTGGAAATTCCTTAAACGCCCACGTGCTTATCGATTGTAGGTGAGAAGAGAGAAAATAAGTGAGAGGATGAGGATGTTGCAGCGACTCGTGCCAGGTTGTGATAAGGTAAAAGTTTATCTCTTTGTCCAAGTTTTTACAATAAATTCGAAGCGTTTAGGCCTAGGCGCCTCTCTCTTCTCTCTCTGCTTAGTGCTTATGCTAAATACTCTATGGTTTATTAATTTGGTTATTAATCAATATAGATAACGGGAAAAGCGCTCATGTTAGACGAAATCATCAATTATGTTCAGTCCCTTCAGAATCAAGTGGAGGTAAATACATAAACACATTGTTTTAATCAACGTTCTGGTTTTACTTTCCCCTTTTTCTTCATATATATTGTCTACAATTTCTGAGTTGACAGAGGAAATTCTGGCTTCTCTCGTGTGCAGTTTCTGTCGATGAAGCTTGCTTCTGTGAATCCCATGTTCGGAGATTTCACAATGGGCCAAGATACCCTCATGGGCACACCAGATGTAAGGAATCAATCCAGCTGCGAAATTTACATATGAGCACCTGAAGATGCCTGATTAATTAATAAAACTTTTCTGTGTCTGAATATTCAGAGGTTGAACAGTGTAGCTTCGCCTCTACCATTATCTGTTCCGCAATGCAGTACCAATCAGGCCACAAATTTTGCTGATGACTACCTTTTGAATGATTCAGCCACGGTTCTTCTTCAGGGAGAAAGACCAAATGCCTTCTCTTCCATGGTATATATAACCAGAAATTGCAGAACAATCACAGATTTTTACTGAATAGTATATAAAAAGCTTTGCCTCTCCTTTTGTTTTCTGATTCTGACATGACATCATTTTCAGGATGTTCTTGGTGAGTTGTGGGATGAAGAAGACCAACGACAAAACTTTCCTAATCCCTGTGGCTTCTTCAGCACCAACTTATGGTCCTTTCAGTGTTAGAATTCAGATAACACTGTCCTACGACGCTACAAACATGTTGTGTGAGTTAAATCAGATCCTGTGTTAAAAAACAGAGAAAAAAAGCATACAGCTTGACGATTTAGTCGTTGTAGTGTAGTTTTTATCAATGATTAAACTACGTATTCAGTATTGTGACCACTTTAATGTTGTCTCTTTTTGAAGGGTTTTTGTCTTTCCAAAAGAGAGACTCTGATGAAGGAAAAACCAAAGCCACGCATGGCATGAGTTTATTGAAAAGGAAATAGGGGGATTGTTCGGTTACAGTATAACAATCTGGTTTGGTAGCTGGTCCATCAGATGTGAAAAGTTAGATTTTTGGAACATGAATAAAGGAGGGGCAGAGAAATTAATGGAAGCAGAACCCGAAAGGACAGAGATATTTCGGACCAAATTTTAAAAAAAAAAAACACATCTTTTGTTAGATTCCTTGTTCTGTTCTGGTTCCTGCAATTTCTTGTTATGACTCTCCCGAGTCTTCCGATGCACAGATTCCTAGAGAGGCTTTGTATCAATCCTAGAGAGATGGACATTATTGATCAGAGACATTGGATATAGATTTATTATTATGATAAAAGGTTGATTGATTGATTGTTTAGGTGGGTCGTTTACTGTTGGTACGGTTAATGTAGCCGTTATTTCAGAAATGAGAGGTTCATGTTTTCATGACCAGTCACTCTTGCATTTGTTGTTGGTTCAGTTATGTTTATGAATGATGTATCTGCAGAATCTTCAGAACTTTGGCGTTATTTATGATTCTCTTTTTCATTATGAGCTCCACGTTCCAATGACTCTGTTCTGTAACCCCAACTTCTCAATTGGCAGGCAGAGCATTTCGTCAATGCCATAAACGCATGCACAGATATATGTGTACACATTCCGGCAAAAGATACGCTCTTCAGATTCTTAGATAAGATTCAATTTTTAAATAAGTTTTGATTTTAAATATAAGACTTGTTTTTTAAATTTATCAATTTTTTCTAAATTATCTTTATAGATACTCATTCAAGTCATAATCAAGTAGAAGAGAGAGATAATGTATTAAGAAAGATAATTATGATATTTTAGAAAAATGTGTCACTTTTCTTATAATTAACTAACTTATCTAACTTCTTTAATCTAATTAAATTAGTTAAATGAGTCTTATATTAATGACTGAAGGAGTAATATAAACATATTTATATACGCATATGTGTTATTTTTCCACAGCCGAATGCTTCTGCAACAAAGAATGCTTGGTAATATTATTACCTCTTTACTATTCTCAAGATATAGAAATGTTGAAAAGGCCTTATAACAAGAGTTAACCCCTCTGATGCCTTTTTTTTTTTGGGGGCCAGAACCCTCCGATGCTAATGTACTCTCTCCAATCCTATATAAAATATCAAACAACTAATAAAAAGATAATTAGTAAGGTAGACATGGACATTAATCTCTAATACATATTTTCATTCAAAAAAAAATCTCTTATTTATATTTAGGACTAAGAAACGGGTCACTAAAATTTCTTATATACAGGTTTGAGAGTTTTTGTTTTGTCTTAAACGAAAGGTCTTGTTTCGTTTTTTCCCCCCTGTGTTTAATATTCCTTTGGTCCTATTTATAAAATAGATAGAGAATTTTTTTGTCTTATTTATAAGTCACTTCATTAAATTTTTAACATGAATGTAATATTTTGTCATTTATTTATTTTAGTGTGGATAATATTTTTTTGAAATATTTATATATATTAAATAGAGGCAAAGTTAAAAAATTGTCATATTTTAATAGAGAGTTAAAGCAGTTTAAAATTTATTTTAATTTGTATGAAATATGCTGAAAGTATCTTATAAATAAGACTATAAAAAAATTTCTTTCCCATAATGCTTAAATTTGGTTGGTCCTATTTATTGGGAGTTAGGTCCTTGCGTTGACGAAATGGTGGGTGTTTTTTGAAAAAAAATGTTACAAAGACCAATAAAACTAGACAAATGCCTTCAATTAGAAGTAAATTCATAATTCTCTTTCTAACATAATTACTCACACGATAGTAAGAAAAATACTAATTTTTTTTAAAAAATATTTTTTAAAATATTCATCCAATCTTTAATGCAAGAACTACCTAACTAATTTAAGTAAATTAATAAAGTTAAATAAATTAATTAATTTTAATAAATGTGACATAATAATCTGGCTAACTAGATGAAATGAATTAAGGTTTTTATTTAGAATTAAAATAAGCTCTTTAACTAATTTTTGCATTTAGTACCACAAAAGATGTAAAAATAAGGGTGGAGGGGGTATTTGCTTCATAGATTTTATAAGACGATGAATAAACAAGAACACAACACACTTATATGGAATATGACTAATAACTAAAAAATGAGCGAGTACATAGATATATAAATATACTCTTTCGGTATATTATAAACTACACTACAAAATGAGTACTACGTTAGAACGGGAGGAAATCAGTAACACCGAATGAGTCAGCAAAGAATGAAACTAAACGAGGGGAATTTATGCAAGCCTACCGTCATAATCATACTACTGTAACTAAATTAATAATTTCAACGCACGCCTTCTCGTGTTCACATGAACAAGCCATATGAAAAATCATGTTTTAAGAATAGGAGCCAGAGGACGTGATGACTCCATTAGGTCCCACCCCCCATTGGGTTGATCGTCCTTTTTGCTGAGCTGACTGTGACTAAAGTTTCCGGCTAATAGGAGATTAAGGAATTTAAGCTAAGCTGTTGATATCATATTGAAAAAAAAACAAAAGAAATTGATTTTGTTTTTATTAAATTGTTACTGAATCCATGGCAGCTCCAATCATCACACCGCTCAGCATTATCCTGTTGAAAGCAGCAATTTCGTCATCCAAGTCAGCAACAACGCATGGTATAATCAGATAATGCTAAAATTCCGAGCAATTTAATATACGTAATGTTAAACACAACTTCCCCATATATGCTGCAATATTTTCAAACATCATCAAAAGAGAGAGACTTACTACTTTTTTGGTCCTTAATATAAAACCTGTTTAACTAATTTGATTAGATTAAAGAAATTAGGTTAGTTAGTTAATTATAAGAAATTTGATACATTTTTTCTAAAACACCATAATCATATTTCTTAATACCTCCTCTCCATCTTTTATTTGATTATGGTTGAGGGAGTATTTATATGGGTAATTTAGAGAAAACTGATAAATATGAGAAATGAATCTTATATTTAGGATCAAAACTAACTCAACAATTAGGTCCTATATTAAAGACCGGGGGAGTAATTTAAAGGGAAATTTAGCATAGAGTCACATCATATGCTGAGATTACAGTTAGAAGGAAAGGAGGTTGTGGCATCTAATCTTTCGAGCACTTTTTAATAAAAACTGTACAAGCACAAAATAATGCAGCTACATTACGTCTTCTTAGAATTGATTCAAAGCAAAAAGAGCCAAAAGTTTTGCCAAGATTCTCTCATTTTTCCACTAAATTCAAGCTGTCTGTGGTGAGCATAAGTCTAAAAAGATCATAATTTCAAAAGACTAGTATAATAAGAAGAAGGAGAGTTCATGACCTTATAAACCACATAATACTTATAAAATTCTCCAGCACGTGGTTCACAGCACTCTCCCAGCAGTTAGGACAAACAGTCTCTAGTTTTCACTACCTAGCTAAATCGTACCATTCGATCACAAATTAAAACCAGCCTCGTGATCAGTACGCCATGTCAAGGCTAACGCGTGGTGGTGCAAATTTCAAGTGATTTTCTTCATAGTTATCTTTGCATTATTAAACTCTTGCTCTGCCAATTTTGTGATTTTAATCTAAATCTTCTTGAATCTTGACATTCTAAATTCCAAGCAGTTCATATTAATGAAACAAGTGAAATATTATCATCATATCATTATTGATTCCATCCATTTATAAACTGAAAAAGAAAATATCAATTCTTCCTCAAGCTTATTATTCCTTCTGGATTTTGAGTTGCCCCAGCTGTCATCTTTGCTGACCAATCACATAAATACATGCACCAGGCCATCTCCCTTCTCCTGTACACGTCTTTTCAATTATAAATAACTATACATGTGCGTTCAACTCGACAGTCTAAATACACATTTGGTACGTACATGAAAAACAACGAAGAAAACATATTTCCTTAAGCTTTTGTCTCGATTGTCACCTGGTCCATGTGGATTTTGCGTAGGTGAAGCACCGATTTGGTCGAGGTCAAGAAAAAAGAAGCACCGATTGGCATGCGTCTTTTCAATCACAAATTGGGAAGAATATATTTAAGTCCATACCGGTTTTTGATATTTTCTCACACTAGTAAACAAAACGTTTTTAAATTCCACGTCAATTAGAAAAACAGTGCTATATATATATATATTAAATATTCGCGGTGATATATCTGTAAATAAGCTGTCATTATGCTAACTTTTCTCATGGTTGACTCCACACCTAATATCAATGAATAATTAATTTTTTTTAAAGTTTTAAACTATCTGCCTCTTGTTTAGACCATCGATGTGGAAAAAATAAAAAAATTTGAAAAGAATAATTATTTTACCGTCGGCGCCCAAAGGCCTTAGAAATCCAAAATTTGTTTTACTTTCTTTCATGTTTCACTCAAACTTTCCAACGCCGAAAGCTTGTGTCTTCGTTCCAATCCCAGTGTTCAAGTTTTAGAAAGTGTTTGATTAAAAATCAAACTATGATTTTAAAAGTAATTTTATAGTATATAAAATAAGCATTTAAGATGAGTTTTGTCTTGACTTGTATGAAAATACTTTTTAAAAGTTGTTCTATTATTCCAAAGGTTTCTTTAAAAATCACTTTTTAAATTAAAACAAAATTCTTCTTACATACTTATTTCGTATATTCTAAAATTACTTTTAAAATTATTGTTTGATTTCTATTCAAACACCTCCTTTGTCTCTTGTAATAACCATGGTGGGTTTTTTCGCTTCAGCAGAAGATCACGCTTATGGAGAGAGGGAGGACACGTTGAGGCCAAAGAGAGAATCGCATGCAATAGCAGAGAGTGCACAGAAAAATAAAAGTGATTTTGATTTACCTGGGTTATTCGTGTTACGTCGGGTCAACTCTACCTTGTTTCTATGTTCAGCCAGACCGATTATCAAGCCGGTTGGTTGGTTTCTAGGCTGAACCAGCTGGTCCAGGTTTCAATGCCATGATGTTGAGAATAGATTTTGTATATAATATTAAATTATAAAAAGATTTGGATAGTTGGTAAATTATTAAAAATGATATAGATTAATATGATGATTAAAAGGGGAAAAAATAAGGTTTTCGGGTGAATGGAGAGTGGTTACGGTTGGATGGAAAGTATTTTTGATATATTACCTGATACGGTCATTATTTTTCTCAGAAGCCTATCATCTAACTTTGCGGAAGACCAATTGCCTGGCTTTGAAAACATAGTTTTGGCATGATTAATCAATTCTTGAATTTTATGAGGTGTTTAGATGTTCTTCTTCAAAACCATGGTTTTGAGGGAAAAAAGTCTTTCTCCCACCTCCGCCCTTTTATATGCAAACGCCTACTTGATTCATGCTGGGAAAAAGCTTCTCTTGCTCTTCCCATGATTTCGTGACGGTTTGAAGGAAAAGAAACTGAGTTTGTTAGCAGATAACAATTGTCGTAGGATCAGAATAGCTGGTCCAGTCATTTAAAACACTAGAGAAAAAGGCACTCAGTATCTTTGGTCTGCCACGTACAGAACCTAGCTAGTCCCATCTTTTCCCTCTGAGTCAGTCACATTAATTC